CCATGGCTACGCTCCATTACGTTTGTGCAATGCTATGGACATGGCTTTGAACGGCATACAATGAATACGAGATTTGCTAACTCAGTGAGTGTTGTCCTTCCCAAGCCTAATATTGACATTTTCAAGAATAGTCTACGTTACGAAGGCGGCAAAGTATGGAATAAGTTACCCTCTAACCTACAAAATGAACAATCCATCGACTGTTTTAAAAACATGTATAAGAAAACCTATTTCAGCAAATTATGAATAATATCATCGTTGTTTTTGTTTTTGATTTGCTTTTTAATTTGGTACTTCATGATAAAGTTCATTTTGTATCGTGATAGAGTTTTTGATTTTAAATAGATTAGTTGATTATTTGATTCCATTATTGTGTTTTTATATATTTAATTAAATATAATTCATTTTTTACTTGGTTTTTACTCAAGATTATGGTCACTACATATTTGTATCATGACTTCATGAGTATTTTAACAATTCCCATTATATATGTATGATTATTTTGTTTTTGATGTTTTAGTGTAAGCTTTTATAATTCAGGACCAGGATGTAAACCAGCCCTTTCTGATCTTGTTATCCTGATGAAATATGTTCAAATAAATAAATAATCTGTGGCAGCACGATTGTGAATATTGTATCATTAGACAGGGTATTCCCAAGGACAGTTAAGGACTGGAACAGTCTTTCTCCCTTAATTGTAGCCCAACCTGAGGATCTCAACAAAATTAAGTAGGGCCTAGTATGCTTCTGCCTTGTTGTACATTCATAATTTTATCTGTAAATAATGATTGACTTTGACACGATGACGAACAATTCCAGTGATTCTGATAATGTCACACAGGATATATTATGTGCTAATAATGATGAATTGAAATGTGGATTGGATCCAAATGATAATGCTTCGGGTCTCATTTCCTCAAACTGTTATACTGAGTCCTCGGCCAAAAATATTTTTAAAAGTACACCGGATTCTCGCTTGTCTATATTACATCTTAATATTAGAAGTCTCAACAAGAATTATGAACAGTTTCGTTTGTTTTTAGATAACACAGGAGTTCCCAAAAATACAGTATTAGGCGTAATTGAGACGTGGCTTTCAGATCAAAATAATACACTGTTTTCTCTGCCTGGATATGATATACTTACAAATAATCGTACAAACAAAATAGGTGGTGGGGTTGCATTCTTTGTGCCAAGTCAAGTTGAATATGTTATAATCGAAGACATGAAAGTGATGAATGAAATTGCAGAAACTTTGTTTATTGAAATTACTGATCTCAATAGAGGAAAAACTATCTTGGGAGTTGTTTATAAGCCACCTCAGAGCAATCATGCTGATTTTCTGGACACTTTGAATAATTTATTACACTATCACTCCGTTCAAAACAAAAAGTGTATCATAATAGAAGATTTCAACTATTATCTCTTAACGAGTGATGCTAATATTCATGCACATAATTTTTTTTAGAGACATTCCTCTCTGCCTCTTTCTTGCCACTTATTTCTAGACCGACTAGAATAACCAATACTTCGGCAACTCTTATTGACAACTTTTTTTTCAAGTGTACGCTCTGAATTTAAAGCTGGCATAGTCCTGTCAGATATTTCTGATCATTTCCCGATTTTCATGTATTATTCATAACGATTTCAGGCAAATAACTCTAAATATGTATCTAAATTAACTGATCAAACACGGATCCAGTATACTTATTATAAGAATAAACTTACAGGAGTGACTTACAGGAGTGATATACGTACTGCTATTATCATGATCAATTCAATCGTTGCAAAAATGATCTTAAAAGAACATGGAAGATCATCAATTCTACCATCAACAATGGATCAAAGCATTCTAATATTACTAAGCTTAGACATAATGATGCTATAGTTGAGGATGAAGTTCAGTTGGCAGATATTTTCAACAATTATTTTTCTCAAGTTGGTTTTAATCTTGCTAGGCACATACCATCCACGTACCGTTCATTTCACCACTATTTGGGGGAGAGAAATGAAAGTTCTATATTTTTCTCTCCTACGTACCCACAAGAGATAATTAAGATTATATCTGGCCTAAAAATAAATAAGAGTGCAGGATTTGATGAAATTGATAACAACCTTTTACAAAAAACTATGAATTATATTGTTGATCCTCTCGTTTATATATTTAATTTGTCATTATGATCTGGACATATTCCAGAATCAATGAAAATTTCGAAAATAATCCCAATTTTCAAAAAGGTGACAGTACATTAACAAGTAATTGTAGACCAATCTCATTGCTTACAACCTTGTCTAAAATCCTTGAAAAGTTGGTCCACATACGGACCATGAGTTTCTTTAAAAAGCACAACGTCCTCTCTGATACTCAATTTGGCTTCCGAGAAAAGAGTAGCACTACCCATGCCATACTTTCTTTAGTTCAAACAGTTGCCAAAGCTATCGATCAGTCTTCTAATACGGTTGGTTTGTTCATAGATTTTTCTAAAGCATTTGATACTGTTGATCATTATGTCCTTCTTTACAAACTTTCTCACTATGGAATTAGGGGAAAACCGTTGACGCGGTTCAAGAATTATCTTAAAGGGCGCTCCCAGTTGGTTTCGCTGAATGGTAATTTCTCTGAGAGTAAACCTATCCTTTGCGGAGTTCCGCAAGGAAGTATTCTTGGCCCACTTTTGTTTATTATTTATATAAATGACATTGAGAGGTCATCTTGTCTGCTTCAATTTATACTTTTTGCTGACGACTCAAATATTTTTTGTCACATCGCGATCCAGAGCAATTGACGCAAGTATTAAATAACGAACTTAAAAGTGTGGCAAATTGGATAAAAGCAAACGAACTGTCACTTAACTTAGACAAAACTAGTTACATGCTATTTAGTAATAAGGTTGCAACTTTGCCTAATTGTATAATTTTTGATGGTACTGTCATTCAAAGGGCCCGATCAACTAAATTTTTGGGGCTAGTTATTGATGAAAAACTATCTTGGAAAGCGCACACTGACAATATCTGCAAAATCATTGCTCGCAACACTGGTATCCTTAGCAAATTAAGACACTTCCTACCCCATTATATTATGTTATCCTTGTATTCTAAACCTATTCTTCCTTACTTGAATTACGGACTTATTGCCTGGGGCAGTGCAGCAACTTCCCAAATTAATAGACTCTTTATATTACAAAAAAGAGCGATTCGTATTATTAATAATGCAGATTTCCGGGCACACACGAATAATCTTTTTCTGAATAATAACATTTTGAAAATTAAAGACTTGTATATTTTTCAGCTTGCACAGTTAATGTACAAGCTCAACACTAAACAATTACCTTTGCCTTTTAAGGATATGTTCGTAAGAAATGATTCGATTCATAGTTACCTCACTCGCCAGGCGAGCTCTTGTCATCTACCATTAAACAGAACATCTTTTGCACAAAAGACATTTGTTTTTACAGGTCCAAAACTGTGGAATTCTCTTTCAAATGATATTATACAGTGTTATTCGATTCAAATTTTCAAAAGGAGACTTAAAAGCTTTCTTCTGAATAGTTACTAGGCTACTGCATTCCCCAATCAAATATAATTTGTAGTGTGACTTTATGCAACTTTGATTGTTTCTTTTTATAAACATGTATGTATTTATCAATGTTTTGCGTTTAAAAGTGATTTTTTTTTTGGTATTACTGAATCAGTTATTGTTATTATTGTTTTTTTCTCATAAAATAATAATTCATGATAATTACTTTTACAGGGGGGCATACATCCTACAAGCTCTGCTTTTTAGTCGGCCCTCCTTCCCTTTCAATTTCATGTTTATTTTTGTAATGTGTTGTATTGTGCAAATTGATCTATATGTATATAAATATGTGAATATGTTAAAATGTACCATCATTGTAAATATGTACGATTGAAAGAGGAAAAATAAATAAATTTAATTGAATTGAACCTTCCTTAAATACCTTGAAATCTGCGCTTAAAACCAGCGCCTTAATTTGGTGACCGCACATGACGACACGTCTCGAGTTTAAACACCTTTACGGCGTCTTTTGGAGGAATCCTACCAAGTACCAAGTACCATGTAATATGTATTCATACGTTTGAAATCAAAGGATTCAGACCTCTAAAATATTAAAAGCATCTAATAAACTATCTTGATAGTAATATACCTCTTGATATTTAATACTCTGTTTTAGATTCTCCAAGACTTGTCGGTTAGGTCAATTTACTTCAGCGTCAGCTTCTTATAGGACGTGGAGTCTGGAGAGATTGATAGCGCCATCGTGGATACAGGCGAATGTGCGAGATATTATGTTTCAGTAAACTTTGCTCTATTTCCTGCTCTAACCGAATTCTTTACTTCAACCATGCACCTACACTTTTACACTTTACTTAAAACTTACCTTATTAAAACCCACCTTTAAACCGAGCCCTCACCCTAAACCCTATGGCCGGTATTCGTTGAGACCTTGTAAAATAGGCTACTCCCAAGCCGGACAGAATGGATAGTTAAGTATAGATTGTGGAATTTCCAATTAGATAAGAAAAGTTAATATTATCGAGAAGAAAAAATCAGGGTAGCCCTTTAGTACCCGCAAGTTCGGGGTCAGCAAGTAAAGTGTAACGTATACGTTGAGAAACAACAGCAGAATCGCTCTTTAAAAGGATTTAAATAACCCCTCGAAGTCTTCGAAAGTTAAACAGGACTTATAGAGGACTTCGCGTTTAACTTGACTTAATCACGACTTCAGAATACGAAAAAGTTAGTCACGACATCTTGACTATAGAACTGAGACAGGACTTTAGACAACTTTTTTAGATTAAACAGGACTTAGTCGCGACTTTAAAATACTGGCCTATACCTTTCACGAAATAAGTCCCGAAGCAACTGACGCTGGTTCAAACGTCGGATCTCCCATCCTCCCCGTCATACATTTCCTTACACCCAACTTTTAAAATTGTATGGCTATCTTTATTCCCCCTTTTTGTGTTTTTGTATTTAGGTCTAGACATGCAGATGACACCTACGGCATTTGCTGATAAAGAAATACGCTACAATGGACGCCGTTGGTTTAACAGAACCTTTGTTATTGATATACAGTGAGTATAGAACTTGACGTTCCGAGATAGACAGCCATTCAGAAGCACCGTTTGTCTGAATGTCTGAATTCTTTAGTTATTAGACGTAGTGTATTTCACAATCTGATGTAATTAACGTTGTTGAATTATATTTAATTATGTTAAATTATTTTCGTTCAATGTACTTACCTTGTTAGGCGCCTTGAGCATATCTTGGGGTGGATATGTGCGCATTATAAATGTTGTTGTTATTATTATTATTATTATTAATTCGTTTCAGTATCTATTTTATATGAGAAATAATTACAAATTTGTTACTCTCACTTCATACCAGACTCTTTTTTAATGTAAGACTTGTAACATCGCAGAATTTAATGAAGGCTTAAAATGTTACTTAACAAAAAAAACTGAACAATCACGTACAAAATGTCATCATAAATGTATTCTTATAGTTATATATTCATAGACAAATCCACCGTCAACTAAACGTATAGTTCTTAAAATATTGAAGATACACTTTATAACCTCGTGAGCAATTTTTGATTTGTTTTGTTTTGTTTGATGTTTATGTTTGACAGGGACAAGGTTACCGAGGTGATGAAGCCGTGGCAAACTGTTCAGATATTTGCTGCAGACGTAGATCCTGGAGACATGATAGTGAAAAAATCTTATAAAGACATCGTGAAATCGAATGCATTAAATCGAACTCATTGGTTTGGACAGCGGGTGAAGTCTTGCGCTCTTGTAGGCAACTCAGGTATACTTCTCAATAGCCATTGCGGTGAGGTCATAGACGAAGCAGACGTCATCATCAGAATGAACCTGGCATTATTTGGTCATGAATATTCATCTGCCGTTGGTTCAAGGGTTTCTATCATGACCATTAACGCATTACAAATCAAGGAGTTGGTCTCCTGTTTCGAGAAAGTCGCCAAAAACGAGACAAAGGACAGGACGACTTCCAAATACCTGGCCAAGCTTAAGCCCAGATGTAACAGTTTAATCGACAGGTTGAGGTTGTTGAAAAGTGACAACGTGATAATGCCTGCCAGGGGTTACTTTCCTCAGCTGGTCGATATGTTGCCCTTTTTGAGAAGACAATTCAATCTCAACTTTAGAGTTTCCTACAACCCGAAGGATCTCATTACGGTGTCGAAAAGGTAAATGAGTTGACATGAGCCATTCTTGAAATATACTAGCACCATTTGCCATTCCCTTGTTCACAATACAGAGAACAGTGGACAACAAAGTGTGAATGTATGACCAGGATGATAGCGACAATTGAGATGATGAATTACATTTTAAAATCATCGCTTTATAAAATAATGTCTGAAAATAAAACAGTTTTTATTTTAATTGAAATTATGGAAAGGTAATATAACCCTAACACTACCTGATGCAGAAGGTATTGTATGCAAATTGATGCAAATTAAGGTAACTAATTTTCGTTCTGGCTATTTTGATAAACATACTACGCTTTTTATGAAGAATAAAACGTGTGATTATCTCAATAAATGACTCACACAAGACGGCTTTAGACCAATGATTAGGATCTAGCATTGAGTACAATGAAATATATTTTTACATAGTTATATATAAGTATAATGAATCATATTCATACATATATAACATATATTTTTTTAAAATATGTACGCGTATGTGTGTTGAGTTTGATTTCTCTTTCTTATTTTCTGTATCCGCCAGATTATGGCATTTCAATAGTCCATCCACTGGGTTAGGTGTATATACGGCTGCCACTCAACTATGTGAAGAGATTACCCTTTATGGATTCTACCCATTCCATGAGGATCCCTTCAATCGAAAGATACTTCACCACTACTACGAACCAAAGGCCAAAATCAACTACACGTCAAATTGTCACGAGATGCCAGAGGAGTACAGATTTTTGCTTGAGTTGGATCGTCAAGGGGCAATCAGAATGATGAACAATTGCACCCCATCGTAGACATAGGTAGCGTTTCATGGAACCGTCTTAAGTACTAGATCGCCTACATCCCATTGTAACGCATGTATTGTAATTAATATGCGTTTCAATGTGATGCCGATGAACTTGTAGTTTTGACGGTTTCGTGAAAGGATGCAGTAGTGTTTGATTTAAAAAATAAATAGCCATTATGGCAACCAAATAATGCACGTAATACGAATCAACCAACCTGTCCGGACACACCACGTGTGGTGCCGATGTTGTTGTTTTTGTTTTGTTTTTATATAAGAAAAGTGTTTTTTCTTTTTAGTTTTTTAATTCTTATTTATTTTTGTTATTCAAGTATATATAAACAGTTAAAGGAATTGTACAGCATATTATCAATAGGCATAGAGTGGTTTAATTTTATATCGACGCGACTCCATTTGAAGTGTGATCACCCTAACATTTCCAAAGGGATCTTTGTAAAATGACAAATACTTTTATCAGATTTTAAAGGGGCAAAGCTTCTCTTGGTAGACGCCAAAGCCCAAACCTGAAACATCGAACAATAACAAATAACATACATACATACACATTTCTCTAATTGACATGCTGATCTTTTGAATGAATATTTTCCTTTATATTTTTAAAGAGCAGTTTAATTGATTCAACATGAATGAATAAACAAATGAATTATACTCATATAATTTTTCATGATTGTAACGCGAAAACAATCCTATTCTCTAAAGAAAGTGGCTCCATGCCCGATACTTACTGAAATACTGTTGAAAAATCACTTACTAGAAGGCGTCACATGTGAATTGCTTCATTGGTTCAGGAGCTTTTTGGTTGATCGAAATATAGTGACTTGTATTAATATGTAGTTTCTGATGCATTACCATTGACTGTTGGCGGGGTGCCTCAGGGCTCTCTACTAGGCCCATTATTGCTCGTCATATTTATTACTGATATGCCTCATTTTTTTGAAAATGTAAAATACATCCATATGCGGATGACACTATGTTATATTACTCACATACGTCTGTTGTACAGGAACTAAATCGGAATGAACTGAAGATTAACTACAGCAAGCAGGCGCGTACACAGGGGGAGGGTTTGGGGGGTTAAACCCCCCCCCCTTTGGTAATTTTGTGTGTGTAAACCCCCCCTAAATTTCTCTTAACCCCCCCCCCTTTTGGATTTTTTGTTTTGTTTTATTTTGTTTTTATTCCAACAAAAAAAAAAAAAAAAATATTCCCATGGTTGACCTAAAAAAGCTGACCTTAACCCCCCCCCCCCAACGGAACAAAATGTCAAATTTTCAAATTTCGAGACCAAAAAAAAAAAGTGACCTCTTACTCCCCCCCCCCCCCCCCCCCCCCCCCCCCCCCCCCCCCCCCCCCCGCTTATTCAGCGGCTGGCTGAGTCGTTGCGAAATTTTCGGCCCGATTTATAAATGTTAACCCCCCCCCCCCCCCCTTGAAAAAAATCCTGCGTACGCGCCTGACAGCAAGACTGTATGTATGTTAATTGCAACAACAGAATGCTGAAAAAAAAACAAGACAAATTACTTTTCAAACTTCGTAGAGAGATATAAATTAAATGCAGAACACAAAATACCGAAGGGTATTCAGTGTTACAGAATTGAAATGGAATATTCATATTGAAAACATATGTAGGGAAATTGGAAGAACAGTTGGATTACTTGGCCGGTTGAGACATTATGTTAATGATACAAATTTGAAAATCATATTTCAATCTGTTATTCTCCCGCATTTTGAGTACGCAGACAGTGTTTGGTCGTCATCTTCTGATAAATATCTTAATCAGTTACAGAAACTCCAGAATGAAGCGGGGAGGATCATTTTGAAGATAAATCTGCAATCATAATATATCCAACCGACAATAATTATTGCATGATAGCCTAAAATGGGACACTCTGTCCATACGGCGTACTTAACACATGCACATTATGTTTTTTTAAATACTGCACGGCCTTACTCCTAAGTATATGAATGAAGATGTTTCTTTTGGAGCTACTAGATACACTTTGAAGTCAACATAATGTTGCCCAGGACAAATTATTGTAAAAGAACCTTTGTCTATAGAGGTGTTATATAACGTGTTACCATTGACGTCATGCAACTGTGATACATTGCCTTCCTTTAAGAGACATTTGACAGAAAGCGTATGAGCCTACATCATTGTACATGTTTTGTTGTAGGCAATCGCATTTATTTGTAGTTTACTTCACACAATTATGTTTCTATAATTCTATATTCTTTTCTCCAATGTCTGTCTTGGACATTTCTTACTATAGTCATATTGCTTGGGAATTCACGTTTTGCCATTATTCTTTGTCATTTGTTTATGTATATTGCATGGGTTTATTGTACCATTTCTGGTCACCATGGAATACCAGCGGCATCATAATCATACCGCTGAATATGGGCTATCCAGCTGTTTATTGTATCTTGTAATTCCGTATTCTATTCGTTATTGTTTTACTGAATGCATTGTCTTTTTATACGGAAATAAAACAAACAAGCTTGCATTACTTGTGATGTAAATACATACTCTCATATTTTCGAATGATAGTTTTACAAGAATTTAATTGAATTATTATATAACATTTTGTTAAATCAGTTTCTTCAAACTTTGATTGAATATTTTAAGATGGAGGTGGTGACGCGGGGGGGGGGGGTGGTGGTTATAGGGTCCCATGTACAATACGTACATTGCTGATTAAATGTATTCATAACTTTTCCCCATCTTTTATGTTCAGTTGCTATTTAGTTACTATTCATATGATATTGAGTGTTTTTTTATCGCATTTATAGGAACAAGACCATGAATTTTTGTCATTGCATTCCATTCCATTTACAAATCTACACATTAAATAGACTGTCTGGTTTGTACTTAAGTTTGAAACTAAGTTATTTTCAATTTTTTTTCTAATATATAAATCAGAAATCAACATTATGTAGTTATGATTATCGTTCATGATTTCAAACTTTAAATATGGTAACTTTGACTTTTGTGATAGTAGTGGGAAGTACATCAGAATCTGCTGGATTAAAAAAAAAACGTTCCTCATTTATTTTCTCGACCTCGACAAAACCATGAAAGGCTTTGGATTTCATTGAGCACGTGCGCCCTCTACGCGTTATTTATATGGAAGTTTTGTCAGTAAGTCCGAATCTACACAAACAAGACGTTTTTCGACGTTTTTTTAGCGATCATTTATCCATTGTTCACGGTGTTCTAATATAAAACATTTTTTTTAGATGAACAGTACAGTTTTCATGAACTGACTTTTAACATAGAATTTATACTAAAACAATCATAATTATCCTGATTGATGTGGTGTATCAAACACTGACCCTACTCGGGCTTTAGATTTTTTATATAAATATGACAGACTCTTGCACAGGAGCGACACCAAGGGGTTGGGGAGGGAAAAAAGTTACCGGTTATTATGATTCTATGATTTTTTTGTTTTACTTTTCACTGTGGCGGATGTTAGGGGGTTTCAGAGAAAACAATGTCGCCCCCCCCCCCCCCCCCCGCCATCTGTTTATCAATTTCTTGGCTCACTGAGTCCTTAAAGTCTAATTGAGATTATTGAGGCTAATATCTGTAATTTCGTGAAAAAGTTACCCTCTATGACCTTTGACCTACACATCTCAAAATCTACTCAGATCATCATATGTTGGTATAAAAAAAAATACAATACATACTACCATCAAGTTTGAAAGTAATAACTCAAATTGTTCTTGAGATATATTTTTAAAAAGGAGCCGGGTGGACGTACGGACGGACGGACTTAAAGACGGGAGGAGAACCCGAGAAAAAAAACTTCTGGTACCACCTTTGGTTGGGCGGGGCATAACGAATATGAGCTACTGGCACATACCATATACCGTAGTACAACATGTCAACGCATTCCAAGCCGCATGCATGTACCATTTTGTTTGTGAGATATCAATTTCTTTTTTTGATATTCATCGGATCAAACGACTTCATTTAATTTAGCCATGAACAAAAGTAGAAAGCTTTTGTTGTGCTTACTGGTCACAATCTGTGTTTCGTTGTGGTGGTTCAAATCCTCTTCTTTGATAATTAGAAACCCTTTTGACGAAGGTAAGCATATCGAGTTACCAATGTTCCATTCATTGCTCGCCCGTCCACGCGAATTATCTATACTTGCAACGTGTTAAAATGCTTTGTTCGTCTGCTCCGGATCTGTATACTAGCAAGTTCAAGCCGTTTACTCGGGGTAATTTTCCCCAACGCAAAATCCATATCAAAATTTTCATAAGTATATGTTTCACCTTTATGAATCCTAAGCTTTTTTGTGAAACAAACTTCTTCATCACAAATTGAGGCCTATGTGATCAACTCTACCACTACCACCATCTACTATTCCGACGGGAGAGAGCAGATGGTCGCCGTAGAGGCGGTGTTTGTAGTCATGCAAAAAAAACATAATGTATTAAATGTTATGATCTCAGTGATACCTCATTGGAGGCAATATGGATTGAGTTAAGGTTACCTTTATCTGAGAAACTGTTATTATGTTGCCTATATTTAGACCACCTGACGCGAATATTTGAGTACTTTAATAACATACTAGATGTATTTAATAAAGCAACTGATGATCTATTTGGTCTACTGATCTTAGGGGACTTCGAATATTGATTATAAAATGGACGAATCACTCCATGAAAATCAAATTAATCTCATAGAAACTCTATTTCTTTTAACACAAATGATAAACAAGCCAACTAGAGTAACTACTTCATCATCAACTTGTATACAAAACTGAATCCATGAGTGATCATTATATGATTTATAAATGTATTAACCTTATCATTGAAAGGAAACGACAAAAAACTCGTCGTTTTCGTGGCTATAAATCATTTGATGGAAATCGAAATATTGCTTCAATAAAAACGGCTGAAATATTTTAGTTAGCTAACGATGGTCGAGTTAAAGTAACATAGAATGTTTGGAGAGAAACATCTTTGGAAATAATTAACGAACATGCACCTATCACCTAGTGTCTTCTCGTGAACAAAAAAATCGTACTGAATGTAATAAAAAGTATACAAAACTATAAAGCCATGTTATCTGTCTCATACGAAAATGAAAACAGGAATACTTCCGGAATGTACATAATAAAACGTAAGAATGATTCGAATAAATTATGGGCAGAATTGAAAAAGATTTCTGGTGGGACAAAGTCTAAGGACCTGAGCTTTAATATTGAATGTAATGAAAACTAACGATTTTTGTTTTGCTTGATAAAGGTAACAATATCTGTAGATCATTTGTTAAAGAAAAAACGAAATGGAATCATCCACACTGTTTATGAATTTTTATTTACAACCAATTAATAGTTCCAAGATTCTAAAACATTTAACTAACTTGGCTCAAATAGCAACTTAGATGTCTTAGACTTTGACACTTAATTACTAAAATTAGCTGCCCCGTATATTGCTTAATCCTTGTGTGACGCCGGAATAGTACCTGATGATTGAAATATTGCACGTACCACACCGATTTTTAGAGGAAAAGGTTAAAAAATGACCAATTTCTGTTGCTAGTCATATTCCCAAAATTATAGAAAAGGAAGTACAATTACAGTTACTTTCTTATCTCCAAAAACATGAAATGATTAATGTCGATCAATACGCCTTTCTTCCAAACCATTCAACTATAACATGTTTACACCGTGTCCTAGATGATTTTTAAGAAGCCTTAAATATGAAAGAAATGGTTGGTGCATGCTTTGTACACATCTGTAAATGTTTTGTGTTGACCACGAGCTTATTTTGTTAAACTTGAAAATAGGAAAATACGAAAATAGACTCATGTGGTTAAAAAACTAATTGAGTAATAGGAAACAAGTGGTGTACTTCAAATGAATACTGATATTAGAGAGCTTTCTATCGGGGGTACCACAGTGAAGTGTCCTGGTCCCTATTTTGTTTCTAATATTCATACACGATATATCTGAATGTATAAATGAAGGCGTCTGCAAAATAGTTGCTGATGTTGTTGCAGTCTTTGTTGCAGATAGTAAGTTAGATGATATTACAAATAAATTCCGAAAAGATATTAACGCTCTAAAAAAAAATGGTATAATCAAAATCGATTACACATTAACACAAATAAAACCAAAACGATGCTAATAAAATTAAGATCCTCTGATATATTAAATATATTCACAAAAGATGAACTGATCGAACAGTTTAAATCTATAAAATATTTAAGTATAGTGATTGATGAAAACTTAAAGTGGAATCTATATTTAAGAGACTTGTGTAAATCTATTGCCTATAAAATATATCTAGGATAGCTGAGTAAATTCCTGATTTCAGAACTATTGAACACCCTTTATAAGTGTAAAACCCAACCCTGTATAGACTATGTAATCTCTGTATGGGGAACTACCCAGCCAGCTACAAGCTGCCCCTTCAGTGACTGCAGAAAAGAGCTGCTAGATATGTAACTGGTAAACTTTCCTGGCAAACTATTGATCAGCGCTGTGATTATTTTCTGGCTATGCTTATGTTAAAATGTATAAGGGGCATTGCTCAACCTCGCTTATCAAACGAAATAGCAATGTATTTCGTCCGCCATGGCCTTAATACAAGAAATGCAAACTCACTATAATTATTATGTAGTATTGCCCAAAACAATCTTTTAAGTGTGCTGGAGCGGTTAATTGGAATAAGCTTCCCAATTATATCCAAAATACCAATTCAGTAGACAATTTTAAACACCAATATAAAATATCTTCCTTTTATCGATAAATATTGCTCACTGCCGCTTCTCCTTACTATCACAGCACTATATGCAGTACCTAACTAAAATGAATGCTGAACATATTATCTAGGAAATCTTACATTACGTTATATACTTGATATCTATTTGGTTAAATTGTTTGGTCGAGGCCTATGTAGCTAGCTGGAAAGACATTTCTTGTTCTATTCAGTTTTTTTTTCTTCTTCATTTTCTAACTGATTATACTACACTAATGTCAATAATTTTTGTAGATCCACTTATCCATCGATGTATTTTTCCTTATTAAAGATGTATGCATATTTTCGTATTGTTGTTTCTATTTTTACCGCTAGTACAGAACTGCTCTTTTCCTTGTAAATACTCTTATTGTCAGTTCGTAAATTTGTATTTTCCTTCTTTATGCAGAGCCATTATATAAAACAGCCTGCGAGCTTATCAATGTTATCCTGTTTAAAGATGTTTTAATACATAAATAGATAAATATATCATGAAATAAATCATGATCTATAGAAATTCTTGAACTCCAAGAGATGATTCTTAATACTTCCCGCACGTACTATTCCCTAATATCACATATCTACTACTCCGTGCCCCTGGGGAAAGAGGAACCCAAGTTAAAGGTAATACAAAGTTTTGGTATAGGGTCATGAATTTGGTTCAAATGATCATATTGGAAGCATATGCGATCCTACAATATTCAGTGATCGTTGTCGCGGTTGAAACCGAGTCTAAAGTTATGCAAATAACTACTTGTAAATAATAAAAGTTTTATGTTGTATGGCTCCCTCTGAAGGTCAAGATATTAATTAAGCTATAAAACAATGTTTCTTTACTATAATCGACCGATTAGCTATTCTCGTTTGGAAATTGTATATCACCACTACATATTCTGAGATTTTCATGGTCGCAGCTACCATTGTACGGCCGTAGGCGCTAGTTGAAATGTTTTCGTAATTTACCGGGAGCACCGGTAAATTTTTATATTTTTTCTCGAAAGCAGAAGTCTTTTGGGGGCTAAATTTTCTATTGCTTATAATACATCCACAGGGGCATCCAAATATATAACATTGTAAAGAATCATTATCCACCCAATTTTCAAAATTTCGCAAAACTTTGTATTACCTTTAATCATTTATTTAGTCAGAATCATATTGCCGGAAAGAGAACGCGCCATAAAAATGCTTGTTTCCTCCTCTTCCATACGTCACCATAGTAATGACGGGGTTTTTGTGCGTACAAAAAACGAACAAACAAAACCGATACGTCTCCTCTCCTAGGTAATATTTTCTGATTAGATATTTAAACAGTTGAAGAAATTGAGGAAAAGAAATCATATCACTGTAATTCATAATCAATCATTCTGCCATTTATGCGCTTTTATCATGGTAGCGAATAACGCGATGATAATCAATACAGCGAAATGAGCGAAATAGATCTTTCATAAAATAAGAATACTTGCTGAAACCCTATTTGTTATGATTTTTTTAGTCAGTCATGAAACGTGCATTACATAAAAATATGGGATAAGGTCAAAAGTGAAAAGTTGCAAAATGCGCAGCTCTCGTTCGGCTGTGCATTCTTATTTCTTTGAAGAGTTTAAGGCTGCTGTGTAAACCACTTGTTTGTTTGTTTGTTTGTTTTACCTGAATGCTAAGAAAGCATTTGTATGCTATATACGCAACCATGCAAGGGACCGACGTCTTTATGTACAGTCCTCCCCGAGGGACTTGCTAATGAGGATTAATGCCTGACCAAAGGGCACTACCGCTTCGACTTGGTTTCGAACCTGGTACTTTCCGGTTACGAGACCACTGCTCTACCCTTTGGCTCTACCACTGAGCCATCGCGCTTCTTCAAGTGCATTTTTCAACTTTCAACTTTTTACCTTATCCCCTTATCCCCTTTTTCTGATGTACTGCTCATTCCACGGCGAAACCGGGCTGACCAGATTAAACTTTTAAAAAAGCAGAAACACGAAGTTGCAAACCATCCAGAGACTCCTAATAAATTGCATTACTGATTAATTACTTATATCATTACAAATCTTTATTCTCAGTTTTCTAATGTATAACTGATTTTCTTATCAAATTGAAGATATGGCGTATATATTCAATACTGAATGAACGCCATTAAACTATTACCAACAAGGCAACAACAACAACCACGGCTAATAAATCATTACAAATACGGTATCATTTTAAAGACGAAATGAAAATAATTTCTCTTTCCAATGATACTACACAAAGCGATAATTGTCCTATGACAAGTGAGATATAATCGATCAAACTTGAGTTTCTGAACTCTTTTTTTAAAGGTTTATTATTTTAATT